TTGGCAAATTTTATAACACTAGGACCGAAAACAAAAACCCAGGAGGAATTTAAACTGTCAAGTGTGTTTAAATGGTGTTATCTGCACACCAGCTCATCTCAGAGAGAAAAACAAAAAGAAGCAGCTGATGGGATTGAATCAGCTAGAGATGTGGTTCCCCTAGAAGCAAGAGAAATGTGTGAGAGCTTCAGGCATAACTCTGTGTGCCAGCATCAAAGCTCTAATAACATGCCTACTACCCCCCGGGGCCAAAACAAATTCTTCAGTGATCCCACAGCCAGATCATCTTCCTCAAATAAAGCATCCCTCACTGTAACAAAGTCCTTAAGTCTTAAGAAAGGACTTAGTGTGGATTATAGCAAACATCTCAGTACATCTTTCACAGCAAGGATCTTCAAGCTCCACTGGGGTGAATTTTAAATATGATCTCATTAACATATCCCTTTCTACAGCTTAGAAAATACAGGGAGGCACTCAGAATGTGAAACCTGGATTCCTTACACTAAAGGAGTGCAAAATATTTGCAAAGTGGTAATTAATGGGATTCAAAGCCACTAGCCAAGGGAGCATCTGGGATAGCCAAGTGAGCTTCTGAAGCAATTAGCCTCAGGGATACTGTGGGTTTGGTCCCAGACCATGAAAATAAAGCAAATGTCAAAATAAAGTGAGTCATACAAATTTTTTTTTTGGTTTCCAGTGTATATTAAAGTTATTCTTACACTACACTGTAGTCTATTAAGTATATAATAGCATTATGTCTAAAATACGATAATAAAAATACTTTACTGCTAAAATATGCTAACCATCATCTGAGCCTTTGGCACGTTGTCATCTTTTTGCTGGTGGAGGGTCTTGCCTTGAAGTTGATGGTGCTGACTGATCAGGATGGTGGTTTCTGAAAGGCTGGTGTGACTGTGGTGATTTCTTTCAATAAGACAACCATGATGTTTGCCCTATTGATTGACTTTTCCTTTCACAAATGATTTCTCAATGCTGTTTGACAGTATTTTACCCACAGTAGAACTTCTTTTAAAATTGGTGTCAATCCTCTCAAATTCTGGTGCTGCTTTATCAACTAAGTTTATGTGATATTCTAAATCTTTTGTTGTCATTTCAACAATCTTCACAGCATCTTCACCAGAAATAAATTCCACTTAAGAAAGCACTTTCTTTGCATATCCATAAGAAGCAACTCCTCATTCATTCAAATTTTATCTTGATATGGCAGCAATCCAGTCATATCGCTAAGCTCCACTTCTAATTCTAGTTCTCTTGCTATTTCCATCACATCTACAGTTACTTCCACCACTGAGGTCTTGAAACGCTCCAAGTCATTCACGATGGCTGGAATCAATTTTTTTCCAAAATCCTGCCAAAGTTGGTAGTCTGAATTCTTCCTATGAACCATGAATGTTCTTTATGGCAAATAGAATGGTGAATCCTTTCCAGAGGTTTTCAATTTACTTTGCCCAGAGCCATTGGAGGAATCGTTGTCTATGGGCACTATAGTCTGACAAAATGTAGTTCTTAAATAATAAGACATGATCCATGGCTGCAGAATGGTTGTTGTGTAAGGAAGCATGAAAACAGTATCGATATCTTTGTATGTCTCCATCAGAGCTCTTGTGTGACCAGGTACATTATCTGTGAGCAGTCATATTTAGAAAGGAATATTTTCTTTTTTTTTTTATGTCTGAGAAGTAGGAATCAATGGCAGGCTTCAAACATTTAGTAAACCATGTTGTAAACAAATGTGTTGTTGTCTGGGCTTTGCTGTTCCATTTATAGAGCACAGGCAGAGAAGATTTAGCATACTTCTTAAGGAGCCTAGGATTTTTGGAATGGAAAATGATTACTGACTTCAGCTTAAAATCATCAACTGCATTAGCCCCAGACCGTCCTTTGAAGCACTGAAGCCAGGCACTGGCTTCTCCTCTCTAGCTATGACATTTTAGATGTTATCCTCCTTCAGCATAAGGCTGTTTTGTCTACACTAAAGAAGACTGTCTGTTCTTTAGTGTAGCCACCTTCATTGTCTTAACTAGATCTTCTGGATGACCTACTGCAACTTCTCCATCACCACTTGCTACTTCATCTTGCGCTTTTATGTTATGAAGATGGCTCATTTCCTTAAACTATATGACCCAACCTCTGCTAGCTTCAGGCTATTTCTCTGTGGCTCTCTTGCCTCTCTCAGCCTTCACAGAATTGAAGAGACTTAGGGCCTTGCTCTGGATTAGGCTTTAGCTTAAGAGAGTGCTGTGGCTGGTTTGATCTTCTACCCAGATCACTAAAACTTTCTCCAGATCAGCAATAAGGCTGTTTCATTTTCTTCTTCTTCTTTTTTTTTTTCAAGAACTCTTCCTGTGTAATCACAGTTTGGTTGTTTGGTGCAGCTTTTGGCCTAGCTCAGCTTTCCACGTGCCTTCTTCACTACACTTAGTAATTTCTAGTTTTTAATTTAAAGTGAGAGATTTGGGACTAGTCCATACGGTGAACACTTAAAGGCCGTGGTAGGATTATTAATTGGCATAATTTCAGAATTGTTGTGTCCCAGAGAATGGGGAGGGGGCCCAGGAGAGGGAGAAAGATGAGGGAATGGTGGGTACATGGGGCAGTAAGAACACACACAACATTTATAGATTTGGTTAGCTGTCTTGCATGGACTGGTTACAATAATAACATCAAAGATCACTGATCACAGTTCACCATAGCAAAGATAGTAATAATGAAAAAGCTTGAAATATTTTGAGCATTACCAAAATGTGACACAGAGACATGAAATGAGAAAATGTTGTTGGACACTGGACCACTCCAATTTGAAGCAGGGTTGCCACAAACTTTCAGTTAGTTAAAACTGCAACATGTGCAAAACACAATAAAGCAAAGCACAATAAATCGAGGCATGCCTATGCTCAGAAAACCCTAGGCTTCTTTTCAGTCTAGAAAGAGATGTTCAGTTTAAAAAGGAGCTATTGTGTACCTCCTCAGTAGCTACAGAGTGCTGAAGTGTTAAAACGAGGTCCTAATTATGTAAACAAGAGTGGGAATGAGGAAGGGGCGTTGACTATTACTCTGTCTGGCTCTGGTATCCCAGGAGATATGGATTATGAGGTACACCTTCTGCAGGTATTGAAGGCTGGGGATGGGTGGTGGGAGCTTGGGGGTTTGATTCAAAACGCTGGGCTGAGATGACCTAAGGAACAGAGGTAGATAAAAGGTCTTTCTGCTCAGGAAAATCTGCTCTCCCACTCTAACGTCTTCTAAAGAGAGTCATCAAGTCAAATCTGTGACTGGCAATCCTAGAATTAAAGTTAAAATACATGCTCACAAACAGATATGTAAGCACACATTCATAACAACTTTATTCATAGCAGTGAAGCACAAAGTAAACATTCACCAACATGTTAATGGATACAGAATTGTAGCATCTTCATGCAGTGGAATACTTCTCAGTCATGAAAAACTAACAAACTACTGATAAATAAAAATAGCATGGATGAATCTCAAAAACCTTATACTTGGTACAAAAAGATCAGAAAATAAAACGATGTATTATATTATTTCATCTATATAAAGTTCTAGAATAGGAGAAACTAAATTATGGTGACAGGTGTCAGAGCTGTAATTGTCTTTAGGGATGAGAATTGACAGGGATATGATACTAAGAGGGAACTTTCTGGAATGATAAAAATGTTCTGCATCATTGTTTGGGATAGTGTTTGTACAAATGTATACATTTGTCAGAACCCATCAAAATGTACATAAAATCTGTGTTTCATTCTATATAAATTATATATAATTATACTCCCATTTTTAAAACAGTAGAAGGATAAAAGCCATTTTTCATGTTTAAATGCAATTTCCTTAAATCACAGCTGTCACAGGTCTATGGGTTCAATC